CAGTGTTTAGGAAGAGTTTGTTTTTTGTGATCCATTTTACTACATCTGTGAACTGGTTTTGGAGCACAGTGTAAGAGGTGCAGTGTGTGTATGTGTGAGGGGTGTGTTTGTGTGTGAGGGGCTGCACGGTATGTGTGTGAGGGGGTGCAAGGTATGCGTGTGAGGGGGTGCAAGGTATGCGTGTGAGGGGGTGCACGGTATGTGTGTGAGGGGTGCTGTCTGTGTGAGGGGTGCTGTGTGTGTGAGGGGGTGTACGGTATATGTGTGAGGGAGTGCAGGGTATGTGTGAAGGGGTACAGGGTATGTGTGAGGGCTGCAGGGTGTGTGTGTGAGGGGCGTTGTGTGCGTTAGAGGGTGAAGGGTATGTGTGAGGGGGTGCAGGGTATGTGTGAGGAGGTGCAGGGTAAGTGTGTGAGGGGTGCTGTGTGTGTGGAGGGGTACAGGGCATGTGTGTGAGGGGTGCAAGGTATGTGTGGAGGGGTGCAGGGAATGTGTGGAGAGCTGCAGGGTATGTGTGTGAGGGGTGCTGTGTGCATGAGAGGGTGCAGGGTATATGTGAGGAGGTGCAGGGTATGTGTGTGAGGGGTGCTGTGTGTAAGGGGGTGCAGGGTATGTTTGAAGTTGTGTATTGTGTGGGAGGTGTCTATATTGTGGTAGGGGGGTGATCAGGGAGAAAATGTATATTATTTACTTAAAAAGGGGGGGAGAAAGCTTTATGCCCCCCATTATTACCCATGGCCTGGAAGGAGGGGACTTTTCACTGCAATCCCTGGTAGTCCAGTGGTGGTGTGTGCACCTTCGCCTGCAGGCTGACCTCACTATTTTCTTCCTGCGAGCACAGAACTGTGTCGGAGCGTTGCCATGGTAATGCAGGGCAACACTCCGACCTGCCTATTCGCGGGAGAATCACAGCCTCTTGGGTCCTCCTCCTGCCCTGCAGTCTCCCGGGTCCTACCTCTTCCTCTCCCTTAACAAACTGCCAGGAGACTGGTGAGGGAGATCTTTGATCTCCCCACCGGCACGAGAAAGGCAGACAGCAGAGCCGGCTCACCCCGGGTGAAAGGATAGTGAAAGCTTTCGCGGATCGGCAATAAATTCTTGTGGACCGGCAGCGGTCCGTGGACCACTGGTTGAAGACCACTGTGTTAAACCATTGTAGCCAACTTGGTAAAATTCACCGTCTATGTTTCTAGTTTGGCTATTCTGGCCAAAAAGTTAACTTTAAATCCCCTTTAAATTCCTGACAATTCAAACTTTATTGAATAGCCCTACCATCGTTGCCTGGTTTTGTTCTTTGTTCGGATATGATAACTCTTATTAAAGAGCAATGTATGGGAACATTTGGTCGTCCTTGTGGTCAGTCTTCATTCTCTTGTGATTTTGCCAGGCA